GAGAGAGAGAGAGAGAGAGAGAGAGAGAGAGAGAGAGAGAGAGAGAGAGAGAGAGAGATGGAAAACTAGTACCCCAGCTGGGTCTCGGGGAGACCTTGGATGAGGGGACAGAGGTGGGAGTGACTCCTAACTTTGTGTGTCTATAGTGTGAAATATTGCTTTCTCCCTCTAGGAAAGGATATGCAACCCTCAGCTTTGCATCCTCAGATATGATTCATTACACACTGTTGTCATATATTGGATTATCATACTCATACTGTACCCCATAAATGTGCACATGCATCCTGCACCAATCTAAACTATAACAGAAGGCTGTACGCTCTGTCCAGGTTTTTCTTTTTTCCTTTTGGTTTTTCTAGCCAGGGTCTCTCTACGTAGCCCTGACTGTCTTAGAACTCTCTCTGTAGACCAGGTTGGCCTCGAACTCAGAGATCTGCCTGCCTCTGTCTCCCAAGTGCTGGGATTAAAGGCGTGCACCACCACTGTCCTGCCCATGAAATGTATTTCTAGATGATTGAAAGAAGTCAGTAAGAGGACTCCTGCCAAGCATCCATATTCCAAGCTTGTCCAGAGGGTGTGGGATTTCTCACCGGAGGCTGCCTCCTGTTTCCTGGTGAAGCCTTGCTCGTTCTAGCATAGTGACGCAGAAGCTTGGGGACTGTCAGAGGGTCTGCTGTCCGTCCCCGGCACACACACGAGTGAGCGAGGGTCTGCTGTCCGTCCCCGGCACACACAAGAGTGAGCGAGGGTGGGTGGTACTCCATGGCTCCCATCCTTCTGCCCAGGGGGGCATCTCTTGTCATCTCCACTCACCCACAAAGGAGGCAGCTGTGTGGAGTGACCCACAAGCTACCCTCCTGCAGTGGCCTCAAAGATGGGACACCTGCCTGTCCCCTCCACCCCTGCTCAGGACAGAAGCATTTACTCTAGTACTTATTAGGGGATTGGTGGCCGACAGCTCCCGGTCACTCTTTATGAACCGTCCTCTCCTGGGGACAGTTTGGATCCAGGGACTGCATTATTAGTGGAGACAAGCGTTTTCTCCCCACCCATCTTTGGGACAACTCTGAAGGATCCTTGTAACTTGTGAGCTCCCCTGAGATGATCTGAGGCTGCTGTGGTGACCCCATCATGGTGAGCCTTTCTTTCTGCCCAAACTGGTGTCGCTCGTGCCCATACAGGTGTTCCCAAGAAGGCTGCCATGCGGCTCCCTGCATGCTGCTTTCAGAATCTCAGGCTGTTTGCAGGGAGATGAGGGCCTAACACGATACCAGGCCAGAAGTCCTTGCACCAGGAGCATGCGCCCTTCGTCAGCCCCGAACATCTGCCACACTTGGTCCTGGCTCCAGCACTCTCATGTCACAGGTGACCCGCTTAGGCCCTGGGGCTCTTTCCATACAGCACTCCTCTGCCATCTGCCACTGTGCCCAACAGGGTCTGCTCCCTCGGCAGCCTTCCCTCCACAGAATGAGCCGACTCCCTTTTGTGTTCACAGCACTTGACTTGTTTTTAAAAATGACATTTGTTGTTATTTAGTGGGTGTGGCAGCATCTGCTTGCCGCTGTGTGTACATGACGATCAGAGGGTGACTTACAGGAGTCACATCTTCCTCCTCTGTGTGTGTACATGACGATCAGAGGGTGACTTACAGGAGTCACATCTTCCTCCTCTGTGTGGGTCCCGGGGTCAAACTCAACCCACAACAGTTTACTGCTTAAAAGTTTCTGACAGTTCCAAATTCCCCTTTCAGAACACCAGAATCCACCAAATACTTTCACAAGTTGAAACTCATTTCAGACTTTCAAAAAGGAGATATGGTCACTTTTGTGATTCCAAGAATTGAGGTTCAGGGGCCTGGGCATGTAGCTCAGTTGGCAGGGTGCTTGACTAGCATGAGGGAAGCCTTGGGTTTGGCCACAGCTCGACATGAAAAA